CTGGGACATCCAAAACTCTTACCTGGCTGCACACGGCATGGGGAATGCACGTTTTGTGGTTAAAGTAGTGAGGTCCACAGCTGCCCTAGAACAGCCTAGAGACCCCCACTGGCCTACCAGATGTGTGCTCCAAGCATAAAGGGACACCTGGTCACCCCTTTCTGCCATCCATCCATCCATCCATCCATCCTCCATTCATTGTATTCATTTTATCTTTTTTTTTTTTTTTTTTTTTTAAACACAGAGTCTTACTCTGTCACCCAGGCTGGAGTGCAGTGGCATGATCTCAGTTCACTGCAACCTCTGCCTCCTGGTTTCAAAGTTAAAAAAAAAAGGTTTTCTCTGAGACAAGATGGAAGGAGGCAAGGATGAAACCTATTCCAGATGGGAGCTTAATTCTTCCGTTTCTTCAGGGTTTAAAAACCACTTGTCCCAGAAGGCCACACAGTCTTATCAGCAATTTACACCTCAATAAAAATAAACTCCTGGACTATTTTGACAGCAGGTTTGTGTGGGGGGAAGGAAACCAAGTCCTACAGAGGGACAGGGACCAGTCTCCAAAACGCAGGGTTTGTGAACCAGCCAGTCAGAGCAGCAGAAAAGGACCTGCCCCTCCATAACAAGAGGTTCTCTTGGAGGTGGCTGGGACACCCTACCTCTGCCCGAAGGTCCCAGAGAGGTAGAGACCTGGAGTTCAGGGCCTCTTTCCTGGCAGGTGGATGGGGAGCTGCACATTGCTGGGTTTCTGCAACACGAACCTGCCTGCAGCACCCCCGCCCCGCCCCCACAGGGAGGGCCTTTTTTTTTTTTTTTTTTTTTTGAGACAGAATTTCGCTCTTGTTGCCTAAGCTGGAGTGCAATGGCATCTCCGCCTCCCGGGTGCAAGTGATTCTCCTGCCTCAGCCTCCTAAGTAGCTGGGATTACAGGCGCGCACCACTGCACTCGGCTAATTTTTTGTATTTCTAGTAGAGATGGGGTTTCACCATGTTGGCCAGGCTGGTCTTGAACTCCTGACTTCAGGTAACCTGCCCACCTAGGCCTCCCAAAGTGCTGGAATTACAGGTTGGCCCCGCAGGGGAGGGCTCTTAAAAGGGCAATGTCAGAGGCCGAGGCATCAGCCCCTCCAGCACCTGGCCAAGTCCAGGCTGCAAAGATGCCTCTCCTTTTGTACCTGGGAAGAGCTGCTGGGGAACCCCATGTTGGGAGGTAACTGGGGGAGCGGCGCAGGCCCCTCATCCTGGCACAGGCTTGGACACGCAGCACATTTGTCTGGGGCCCATCCCAGCTCTGTCAGACTCACCCTGGGAGTGCAGCCAGGGCCGGCCCTGCCGCGTACCCCCGGGGGAAGGATGCAGACTGGGGAGAGGAGGCACTCTCAGGACCTGGGGTAAACTGGAAAAGCTTCAGGGGAGGAAAAGTAGGACAGACGGCTGGGAGAATGTTGGTTCCCAGGAGTGAGGTTTCAGTGTTTGGCTAAGGAGCTGCCCTGCCCACCCTGGACTATGGCGCAGGGCAGTCGCTGGGTCGGACACTGCGGGCGCGCCCAGTTTACCAGCCTCTTGAGAATTTCTGGAGGTCGGCGCGTCATTGTGGGCTTCGTTGGGACGAGCGGCCAGCTGTTGTCCAGGTTCCTCACTCCCGCCTAAGCACCAGACCGCATCTGTGGGCCCCTGAGACAGCCGGGGGGGGAACCCAGGGCTGGTGAGAGGGACCCAGGGGCTGCGATGCACTCACGAGGCCTCTGGAGGGTGTTTGGCGAAGGGAGGGGTAACCTGGGCAGCATTGAGGTGCGAGGATGGCGGCCCAGTCAAGAGGGGCCAGGGAGAGGCATTCAGGCGTGGATGCGAGGAACGGCAGGGTGGAGTCAAGTGCGTTGGCCTGTTCCCAAGATGCTCGGGCTGTGTGTCGGCCTCCTAGAATGAGCTTGATCAGCCCCATCCCACTGCCTCAGGGAGGGAGTGTCTGGTTTTCCCTCTGAAGGAAGGCGAACCACACCTTTCCCAACAGTTATTGGAGAGCAAGTTACATTCTTTCTTCTGTAAACCCTGCTCCTAATGGTGCCTGGCCCAGGGTAAGCACTCGGTGGCTGGTCATGTGTGCCCTCCTGCTGTTGTGCTCTTGGGCATGACCTGTGGGGAGGGACCTCAGCCACAGCCAGCCTTGCCTTCACTCCCATTGACTTCCTCTCCTCTGGCTTCTGGGAGCACGGGGTCCCTTACAGTT